TATTTTTGTTTAATCTTTTGAATACTCTTTTTGCTTTTTTTTCAAACAACTTATTCTTATATTCAAAAAGATTAAGTTTAGGTTTTCTTGAAATCCTTATTTTAATGACAAGTTAAATTTGCAAATTCTAAAAGTTCATTTTACATACTAAGCTAAGCAGTCAAGACTTATCTAGTTATTACTTGAGATCTTGCTTCTTGATCAGCTTGTTTTAACTTGATCTTTATTTTTTTCAATACTTTAACATCATCAAAACTTTTTGCATATTTTCTTCCACAAAGACAACTCGCATATTACGATACATTTATACAGGGTTCTTTTATGAGGTGTTCAATTATAACAAGATTGGTCACCCTAGTGTTAGGTTCAGATCGTAGCTTTTTTCTATGGGTTTGGCCAACTCTCCCATATTCTTTATATTTTTCTTTCTTTAATATATTTTTGTTGGGCTGCAGATCATTCACGGCAACAGGGGTGCCTACCTAGTTGGAATTGTTGTTGTTATATGGTGATGACTATTATAAAGAGAATAAATTTTTGTAACTATTTTTTTTTGCTTTTCACTTTTTTTAATTAGATATTATTACTCCTAAATTTATATTATATATTTTAAGAATATTTTTTCTCAAAATCGTCTAAAAAATAAACATACAGAGACAAGAAGTGCCTCTTTCATCAACTATTATATATGTATAAAATTTTAATGCAAAAATTACTTTTTCTGATCGGAAGTATTTATACAAAGAATTGATACAGCTGGATTTTTATGTAACTTTATTCAATGGTCACAAAATTTCTCCGAAGGTGGAATAGATATATTCTCTGTTTTCCCAACCTGACACCAACAATAAATCTTAGTCTTACGAATGATGTGACAGTGTTTGCATGTTTTACTTTTCCGTTCAACAAAAATAAGTCAATCTTCGGCAAGGAAAGGGAATACAAAGGAACCATAAAGTGATAAAACAACACTTTAAACTAAGATATCCGCACAACTCATTGTATGCCATCAAGATTGAAATTTATGCATGGCGTTTACGAGAAAATCATTCTTTTCCTTGACAGACAATGACATGTATAATTCTTGATGATGATGATAAGAAAGAGAGACGGTAATTTATTCTCCTTTGAAATGTATTTAAATCCACATCAACAGTACGTACCTAACATAAAATACAACGACCCACCATTATTTTTTCTCCTTATAAGAAAGAGAGACTAATTTATTTTCCTGGGAATTTATTCAAGTAGATCCCAGTAAACATAACATAAATTGCTGTCCCATTTTTTTTTTCCTAAACACTTTGATCGTGAAGGCGGTATGATGGAATTGCAAGTAGATGATTGACCCTAGGCATTACAAGACCAAATTTCTCTGTCATGTCCAAATCAGATGGCAATATATCATTTGGCAGCTTCCAATCAAAACAATGCACCAGTTGTGCCACTGTTTGAAGAACCATAGTCAGGCCCAGTTGTAATCCTGGACATCCCCTTCTGCCGGCTCCAAATGGTATCAACTCAAAGTCATGTCCTTTCAAATCAATTTTGCTTCCCTCAAATCGCTCTGGCCAGAATTTCTCTGCCTCATCCCAAACACTTGGGTCTCTCATAATTGACCATGCATTTATGAAGACCCTTGAATCTTTGGGAATGAAAAAATCTCCAACCATGCAATCTTCCCTTGAATAGCGTGGTATTAACGGTGCCACTGGATGGAGCCTCATGCTTTCCTTTATAACCATATTCAAATACTCCAACTTGTCCAAGTCTGATTCCTCCACCTTCCTCTTCATACCCACCACAGTTTCCAACTCCATCTGGACTTTCTTCATCACCCTTGGATTCCTAAGGAGTTCTGAAAGTGTCCATTCTATTGATGTAGCTGAAGTATCCAATGAGCCAGTCAACATATCCTGTGAAAAAGATACATGAGTACTGTGATAGATAGCTATGCATTTACAACAATAATATTTAAGCAAACAATAATTTTAATTAAAAAGAAAAGCAAAATGTATGAGGAAAGAATGTCAAACTGTGTCATGCATTTTCTTTACCAGCATTAAGGCTTTGATATTGGATCGTTCAATGCGATACTCAGATTCCTCACTACCAAGAAAGCTCAACATGACATCAACAAAATCTTTCACCTTGTCTCCTCCCTTTTCTGATCGAATATGCTCATCAATAATTTTGTCAAAGAAGACATCAAATGTTTTGCGAAGTGCCTTCATACGCTTGACTAGTCCTTGAAGGTCAAGTACACCAATATAAGGAATGTAATCACCTATGTTAGGAGTTGCGAGTAAGTGCATTAGCTCTTGCATGACAGCCTTGAAACCCTTCTCACCCAAGTCCTGGTCCGTGTACCTCTTTCCGAAAACAATTCTACAAGATATGTCTGCATTGAGTGCTACAACCTTGGAACTGACATCAACAGCAACTCCATCATTGGCTGCCTCTTTCAGAAGCTTGATCAATGTACTGAGTTCCTCTCCCCTCACGCTTCTGTAGGAGTTTACTTTGGTTTGGCTCAGCAATTCTAGTGTGCACATTTTACGCATGTTGCGCCAGTAAGAACCATATTCAGCAAAACCCAAGTCCTTTTGATCCCAAAGAACGTACTTTGCTGCTTGATGTTGTGGTCTACTAGAATAGACAAGGTCATGGGTTTTGAGGAATAGTTCAGCAGCCTGTGATGAAGAAACAACAATTGTGGGCATAAAACCTAAGCGCAAATACATGACAGGTCCATATTTTTGGGCTAGATGGTGCAAATCACGATAAGGATTTGCCCCCAACTTGTGAAGGCTCCCCAAAATTGGCAACCCCTTTGGACCGGGCGGTAATCTGTTTCTCTCTTTCATCAGTATCCATAGACACAAGTAAGTAAGAGAAACTATAGAAATTGCTATCCAAATCATTGGAAAATTTCTAACTATATTGCTGTTAGTAGCTAGCTTCAGTACTATATAACCTTTGCTACCAAAAGCAACTGGACTTGCACTGATGACTTAACCAATGAAGGGATTATCCATATATATAGTGCTTGTTTGGTGTAATTTTCAAATACATGCGCAGACTAGTAGTTAGGAAACAAACAAAAAAAAATATTTGTAATTATTAATATTGATTTATATATATGTATATATATTACTAATTTATTAATTGATATGATGTGTTTCTGTATGGCTATTACAATATAATACAATATGAGTAATTGTAATTGTACACTTAGTAATATTTTTTTTCTATTTTTTTAAAGAATTAAATAAATAATTATTTTTATTTATCTCAATTATTTTATATATCATATATTTTGCATTATTTACAGTGAAAATCTATACTTACAACTGAGTTTTATATTAATTGTGTATGATATAAATATTTATACAATTTCAAACGAGTTTAAAATTCAATATTATATATATATGCGCCCACGAGCTGTGACTTTTATATTAATTGTGTATGATATAAATATTCATACAATTGTAAACGAGTTTAACGTTTCAATAATATATATATATATATATATATATTAAATTTATAAAATAAGTGTTAATTAATAAATATGTTGAAAATAAAAATATGTATAAGAAGAAGAGTATAGAAAAATGTGTAAGAGAAAAATTGTATAAAAGGAAATAAAATATACAATAAATGACAACAACTTTCTAAATTTGGCATGTTTTAATAATGTGTAAACGTAGCTAGACTTGATACTTGATATACTTTTCATTCACTAGGTTTCAAATTATATACTATAAATACCAATTATTACGCTGTGAATTTGGCTAACTCCATTCCCTCGTATAGGTATTTTATGCTTTTAATAAACTTAATTTTTTTAAAATATAACACTTATTTTAGCTTTTTAAAACATAATATTACGCTAATATTTCAAACTCAAAATTATTTAAATAAAAGTTTTATTAAGCACCACAGTTTTCTCAATCCACACAATGGGATGAGCAACTTCAAAAACATTTCCCCTAGTCCTAGTGATCAACAGCTCATCAACACAGCTTAATCAACATACAACACAACTCAACTTCACATCTTTAACAACAAAATCAACATACAGCACAGCTCAACTTAACATCTTTAACAGCATAATCAACGTATAGCACAATTCAACTTAACATCTTCTTATCATATACAAAATTCATTTTCTAAGTCATAGAGTAAAATACTTCCACGCCTGACGCAATTAAACTCGCGCCTGGCCTGAATCCAACCCGAGAGCTCTAAAGCTCTTACATGCCCGACGTATCATCATTACGCCCGACGCAATAGGAGGCAGAGACTTCCAGGAGTCTCCCAAGCCTGGCGTACCAAACTCGTGCTCAGTACGTGCAAATAAGGCAAAAACCTTACCAAGCTCTCACGCCCGACACACTCATTCTACGCTCGGTGCCACCCTAGGCAGAGACACCCACGGAGTCTCGACGCCCGGCGAGATCGAATCACGCCCGGTGCCATGTTAGTAACTCAAAATTTTGAGCCACTATCTAATATCACGCTCAGCGTAGTTCTCCCCACACCTAGTGTGATTCATCCAGAAACTTCCATTCCCAACCTCGCCCGACACAACCAACCTAGCGCCCAGCGTGCTTGGACAATGGAGTTCCCCGATGAACACACGCCCGACACTAAGAACTACGCCCGTCGCAATTTCAAATTGTAACCCTCATAACTTCAAAAATTGCAAACAAAAACCTGCAAATCAACCTGCTTAAACACATGCAATCCATAAAATAAACTACATTTGCATCATACAACTCAAAAACAAGCTCTATTTCAACATGCAACCATCAACGCATCAAAATCACCATTTTCCCCAATTTTTCCGAAGCCCCAAAAATGAAAAACTCTTCAATCCAACCATTAATCTTCTGAATTCAAGCATCACTTGAGCTCCTAAACTCACTTACGACCAATCCGCACGCAATCTAACTTCCCTTACCTTGAAAAGAAAAAAATCAAAGCTTCGGGGAAGAGGAAAGGAAAGAAGAACAAGGAGGTCCGTGCTTCCGACTAGCTCCTCACGTCTCTACTCCACACCTTCAACCACAACAATTACCACAATGAAGTTTGAGAATTTGAAACCAACGAAAAAGGAAGTGAGGGGAGAATGAGAGTGTTGAGGGTAAGGAGGAAGAAAAGAAGCGGGTCTTACAAAAAATGTAAGAATTTTTTACGAAAATTTTCTACATATATTTAAGTCAAAAATTTTTGACAAAATGTTATCGATAGATAATGATAAAAATTTCATAATTTCTAACAAGAGATTTTTTATGGAATATTCGTCAGAAATGATTAATATTTCGTCAAAAATTTGATCTGTAAAAAATATTTAATATTCCATAAAAAAATTATATCTAACAAAAATGTTTAATATTCGTATAATAATAATAAATATAATTAAAATTGATAATCATATATTAAGTAACATGAGGATGTTTGACATAAGCTAACAAACTATTAAATATTTGAATTTTATAAATAACTTTTGTATTTATTTATTAGTTTCATAGTGAATGATAGTAACCAATAAGATAATGAATTTATAATCAAGTTTATTTTTTTAATTTATTTAATTAAAAATAAGGTAATGAATACCAATTTAATTATCATGATAAATTAAGTGAACAAGTCATTGATCTTGTAAGTGATGTTACTCTTATTTCATGTATAATCTTCTCAAATGTTTGATACTACTCATCTTATTCAATTTCTATAAATATTTGCTTTACACGATCGTAATTCTTTTTTTTTTTTTTTTTATCACGAGAAAAGAAAAGACAAACAAAACGAAATTTGGAGGTCTCCTCCACGTAACAAAAGTTTATGGGTGGATAACAGAGCCGGGGGCCCAAGGATGCGTTGCACATACTGCATGGACCAAGGACGGCCATGGAAGACCATGTTGTTCCTCAGCCGCCAAATCCACCAAATAATCATTGATAAGTGCATTGCATATCTGGATGAAGAATGATATACTTGACCCAGATGAAGCAGTCTGTCAGGAATAAAAACTAGCTGTGAGTGAGAACCAAACCACGTAGTGCATGAATGATTGATTCCTGGGAAAAAGAGCAACGTCCAAGTGATGCATGAGACGAAAGTGGTTTGTGGGTATGGTTGAGTGAAGGCCTTGCCAAAGGAAGAACTTCACTTTCTCGGGGACAGCCACCTTCCAAAATTTCTTCTAGACAACCTCTTGTGTGCTGGTATTCGTGTTGAACAAAAATCTGAAACCTGAGGCTGCAGCGTAGCACCCCGAAACATCACTTAGCCAGGAAAAAGTATCCACCCCAGCTGGAGAAGAGGGAATTCTTAGCTGCTCAATACAGTTGTCCACTTCCAGGGGTAAATGAGTGTATAACGAGGCCAGGTTCCAAGCCCCATTCCGCTCGCAAATATGAACAAAAGGAACTTACTTGTCAACTAAGCCTACCATTTTTTCACCAATTTAAAGTGAAGTGTGTTAGTTTTAATATTTGCTTTCTTATTTACTACTATAAAATAGCAATTTTAGAAAATACAATATTATTTTTTTGAATATTTTTTATGCAGATTTTTCACAAAAATTGTCTCTTTTTTTTTTTTCTTTTGTAAAATATGAGAATCTATCATTTTTAAATTTATGTAGTGTTTAGTACATAAATTTTTTTATAAAAAAAATACTTTTCCATGAATCTGACATAAAAAATGTTAATTTCTCTTGTTTGATTTGTTATTCATTCTCAGGAAACAATGTTTCTAAAAACGATTTTTACACAAGTCTTTCACGAAATTATTATTATTAGAAAGCTAGGAAACTAACTTTCTTGAGACAAAAATAAAGATTTAATGTAATAAAAATGTTATGTTATATTTATTTATTGTAATAACAATCTTTTATTCTTAGATAATATTTGAAGACATTTTTAGAAATATTTATAATCAACTAAATAAATTTTTATGATTTATAGGAATTATGATTCTTAGGATTTTTTTATTCATAGAACTCATAATTTTTTTGTTGGATACCAAATTCTCTTAAAAAATTTATTACAATAAAAATAATTACCTTTATTTATTTAATATGATATTTTTTTAATTCTCATATAATCTTTAAATATTTTTAAAATATTTACCATCAACTAAACATATTTATACATGAAAATTATGATTCACAAAATTTATATTTTCATGAATCATAATTTTTTTTTTGATATCAATTTTTTTTAATAGTCATAACTTCCACTAGGAATGACAATGGAACTCCATGGGGGCGGGTAATAGTAAATATGTCCCCGCCCCACTTGATGAAAATTGGTCTCATACCCACCCCATATCCGTGTGGGTATTCATTAAGCGGGTATTCATAAATTTCTTAAATACTCACGGATATCCATGGATATTTATAAATTTTTTAAGAAATTAAAAAAATTATATTACAAATAATTTTAAGTTTATATTTAATGTCATTAAAATATTAAAAATAAAATTTTAATATTAATTTTGAAATTGTATTTAATATTAATTTTGTTGAAATAATAATAAAAATGCAAGATAATCAATAACTAAAAATACATCAATCTCACAAGTTAAAGTCTCATAACAAAGCTACAATAATTCAATCTCATAATTTCAAACGAAAGTAAACAACTTAAAATACATAAATCTTATTGGTCCAATCAAAATTAGAAAATTAATCAAATTACATCCAACATAATTCTATAACATGCTTAACACATGTTGGTAACTTATTCATCAACTTCACTTTTGTAAGAAAATAAGATGAAAGAGTATAGTTTTAGGGTTATGTGATACAAAGATAATTAGGATATTTAAAAAATATTATTAAACGGGTACTCGCGAGTATGAATATCATCATACCCGCCCCGCCTCATTTATAAACGGGTAAAAAATTATCCATCCCCATTATCTTCAGGTACCCAATTAGCCTATCCATTTATTATCCGTAGCGAATTTCATCCGCAGATACCCGTAAGTGCGGATATTTTTACCATCCCTAACTTCCACTTTAATGTTGACCTTTTATACATTGAAATGCAGCTTCTACTAAATTAGCATCGGTCACAACACTAATGCTAAAATCCAATTAATTTAGCATTGAGTTTTGTTATATAGTGTCAACTTTTGGCCTATATTGGTGGTGATTTTTTTTAAATGAGGAAAAAAATCATCTTAATAATTAATCATTTAAAAAGTATTCACATTATTATTTTTTTAAAAATTTTGATACAGTTGCTGTCAGTTTTTTTTAATTTTTTTATATACAGTAAGAAGTCATACTATTTAAAATTATTTAAATAATGAAGCTCTATTTTATTTTTATGCATTTAATTACCCCTGATTCATCTTGTAAATTAATTTAGTTGGTTTAACAATTACAATAACATTCGATTGGAACAATTACAGCTCATAAAACCTGTCAGGTCATGTACTTGAGGGGTTTGGCGGGGAGCACTGAATCACTGATCATGGATTCCTTGTTTTCAATTGCTGGCCAGAACCTGGTTTGATTCCTGTAGCTGTCCATTTCACTTCACAAATCCTAGAGAGGCCAAGTATGATCTTATAAAAAAAGCATTTAACATAAATCAACTCACTTCCAAACCAAATCACACTTAAAAAAATTAATGATGTAAATTATTTTTTAAAAAATTAATTGCTTCAGTTCTTAATAAATGATTAAATTCATTTATTTTAAAAACCTATTTTAACTAAGTTAATTTTGGTTTTAATTAAACTAGTTTTAAATTGTATTTAGTTTAGTTTTATACAAAATCAAACTATTCACACCCCAAGACTGATGATCTTTTAATTTACAAAAAAAACTCCATCTAGCCTGATGTTGAAAAATGCTTCAAAATCATTATTGCTTCTGGAGATTGAAATAAATAGTGTTGCTTAATCACTGCAGAGAGAGCAAAATGGTTGAGCATGCCAAGATCAAAGATTCAAAATTAAAAAAGTTGATAAGCTCTTCCATTACTTACTTATGTTTTGCCTTATTAGATTGTAGGTCTGGTCTGGTTTCATTTAAAAGGAAATTATTGAGTATCATTTACATGAAGAGTCCATAGGTTCTTAGAATAGTGGATTAAGCCTAACTCAACCCTACAAAACCGGCTTGTAAGGTAAGGGTTGCTTTCCACTTATATATTATTCAATTGCCTAATCTCTAGTCGATGTGGGACTTGGGTTTTTCCCAATACACTCCCTCACGTCCAGCACTATTGGGCTTGGTACGTGGATAAATGGTGGGTGGCCCTTTTTAATGATCTAGGATTGGCGGGATTTGGGTTTTTCCCAATACACCCCCTCATGCCTATGAGACATGCATCAATGGTGGGTGGCCCATTTTTAAAGTGGATCTAAATGGCTCTGATACCATCTTAGAATAGTGGATTAAGCCTAACTCAACCCTACAAAACCGGCTTGTAAGGTAAGGGTTGCTTTCCACTTATATATTATTCAATTGCCTAATCTCTAGTCGATGTGGGACTTGAGTTTTTCTCAATATAGGTACTGAAGAGTGAATGCTTGAAAAGTGAAAATTGACTACACTTCGTTCCCTTTGGGTGTTCATTGGTTATTTGCTGATCCACAAATTTTGACATGTATAAAAGCAAATTCACCTTATATAAAAACTTTTAAAAGTTATGTGGGTTTCGCTTGGCTTATATTCCCTATATAAAATAATTAGCAAATATTTTGTGAATTAAGATATTGTTTTTATATTCAAGTAAAATCTTAGAAATTAAATTAAAATATAAAAAAAAAAACATGCTTATAAAATTGTATAAAACATATGTGCATAAAAAGGATCTGAAAATAAAATTTAGAAAAATTAAAATTAACATATCATTCTTTAAGAGAAATTAAATTAAAGGTTAAGCAACGCTAAATAAATAAATAATGTAATTATTATGTGCAAAAAAAATTATAAGAAGTAGAATATAGTCAATTTAGTCTTATAGCGCGAATACACACATCTTTCTCTATATCCCGTCACAAAACTTAACAATCATTGAGTTTGGCGGGTGAATAAAGAATACGCATCCAAATCAAATAAACAAAGAAGACTCGAACTTATATACTATATACTTGGCTAGTAATTAATTTGCTGTCTTCACCAAAGATGCTTGGTAGTGGACCAATGCTTAGAATATAAAAAGGGAAGATGGAACAAAGAATTAAGTATATGTGACTCTTCATAATATGACTGCATGTCATGAATTAGTTTAACACTATTTAACTTTGGGTGACCAATAGGCTCCGGAAAGAACAACTACTGAGATTTTTCTCATTGTTTTTGTCAGATAATTAGCTATGTAAGGTGCCCTTATGGAAAAGTAAGAGCCTAATTCACTAATTTAGTCATGTAAAATTAGTCTGGTGAGTGATATTTGTTGGTGTTAGTTGGCTGTTTCTGTTCCTAAAGACAACAGAAATAGACTTCAACACTCGACAGAAAAAGCCAAATATGTTCTTATCACCAAGTTGGGAGAAAATAAAAATGGAGGAGTCTGATCACACTCTGACAGAAAACAAGTTATTGCAGTTGCACCAGATTATAGGCAGAACACGTTTTCTGAAGTTAAAATTAGAGTAGGAGAATTTGTGGTCTCTATCAGCTTGTTTGCACCATCAGATTGTATATTTATACAGTAATATATTTTTTAACTTAACTCTTTAAATATATATTTTTTATTAGTGATTAAAATTATTCAAACTTATTATAAAATTTGTGAGATTTATTTTTTTATTTAATAAATAATAAGTTAGAAAGAGTGTATTATAAACGATTTGTGAGTAAAGGTTCTGTTTACTTGATGATAGTGAAACCCAGTACTTGTTGAATTGACAACTGAAACTGAAGTGTTGATGACTTTGTTTTTTTCCTTTCAATTTGCATACAGCCATACACCACCGTCACTGCAGAAATTGTTGCTATATAGTTGGCAAAAAAAAAAGAAAAATAAAAATTGTCGTGAGGTTTTCTTAAGAAAATAGCGATCAATCGCTTTGATCCTTTTCGTCGCGGTCATATAAAAAGGAAAGAAGAGACCAATGCTTCCAAATTAAGTGCTTGCACAGAAATCAATTATTCAAGAAACAATCAAACTTTTCTCATAGAAGTCAGTAAAAAAGAAATTTAATTATTTCTAACTTTGCAACAAAGCCAAGCACCCTTTGTAACATAAAGACATACCATAACCCAAATAATAAGACCAAGATGGTTTCTAATTTGGTGAAACAAAATGGACCAACACATCATTTTTACCACGAGAAACAATTTTTTTAAAAAAACAGAAAAACTAATCTCTATCTCTATCTCTCTAGAACTAAATAATGATAGGGGGAGAAACATTTGAAATGCGCATGTGCATGAAGGAATTTTTTTTTCCTGTAATAAATCTATACATGAAAATGGACTCACAATTCACCAAAATGGGGAAACGAGATCCACAGGATAACTTTGTTTTGGCTATGCAAATTCTTTTCCTATATGCAATTTATCAATCTATTTCTAAAGATTTTTACAGTCCCATGCAAATGGCTCCAAAAACGACAATCACCAAGAAGGAACCAAAAAGGCTTTGCCCCTAAATCCTAAATTGTCTTTATTTCGAAAGAGTGTTCCCCGGAATGAGGTGCAATCGAGAACATTACACACTCTTATCCAACGCATAATTCACTATCGCAATGGGCTCGCCGGTAAGGAAGCAATGGACGACGAAGATCTTCTGGTAACTCTGAAGCGGAAAAAACCGTACAATTTGCGCAAATCCTTAACCGTGTGGAGACCCTCACCGCACACAACTCCATTAGGCTCATCCAACTCATCATCACCATCCTCTGTCTGCCGTCCGATCAAGCCGCACCCTCGGCCGTCACCGTCCGTTTGCAAAGCCGTAATAACGGATTTAATAGCCCGACTCGGCGAGTTTCGGTTGGCGATCATCAACTCACCGATTTCAGCGGGACTCAAACTGGCACCGTTTTGGAAAATCTCCTGCACCTGAGGGAACAACTTGTGCTCCTTCACACCAAGGTAACTACTCGCAAGCGTTTTGAACGCCGAAAAATCACAAAGAGGAAAATGGATATGCACGTCGATCCGACCCGGCCGAAGAAGGTTCGGGTCAACATGTTCCTTCGTGTTCATCGTGAACACCATCACTCTCTCTTCAGCGCAACACGAGGTGAGAATCCCATCCATGAAGTTCAGTATCCCGGACGCGCTCACTCTAGACGTTTTGTCCGCCAGGAACCGGTCCAGGTCTTCGATCACCACCACCGATTTCGGCGTGGTGTGGAGGAGGAGGAGTTTCAGATCTGAGTCGCTAGGGATTTTGCAGAGGTCGATGTCGTAGACGTCGTAGGAGAGGAAATTGGCCATGGCGGCGACGAAGCTGGATTTTCCGGTGCCGGAGGCACCATAGAGGAGGAAGCTCCGCTTCCAGACGCGGCCGAGGCGGTGGTAGTATTGTTTGGCTCTGAGGAAGGATTGGAGATCGGATTTGAGTCGGTTCTTGAGATCCGGTTCCATGGCGATGGTGTGGAAGGTGGAAGGATGCGTGAAGGGAAGGGATCTCCAGCGTCCGAAGTGGTGGGCGTTGTTGATGAAGAGGCGCAAATGGCGGTTCCCTTGGTGGTGGATTTGGTCGGCGACGGTGTGAATGTGTTGAAGGTAGGGGCGAAGGATTCGGGGCTTGTCGAGCTTTCTGATTTTGAGAAGGAAGGTTGGGGTTGGGGTGTGGGTTAGGTTGGACCAGAAGAGCGTGGCTCCGAGAAAGTGGTCCTGGATGGTTTGGTTGGGGGCGAGGGAGAGGACGATGTCGTTTTGATTCTTTCCCGTTACGAGATTGGCGGAGTGGCAGTCTTCGATGGAAAGTAGGGAATGTAAGTAGAGGGAGACTTGTGTGTAGAGGTGGTTCTGCTGCTGCTGCGTTGTTTCCTTCACTTCTGGGACTTTGAGGAAGTGGTACACGTGGAACCAATCTTCCCACAGCTTCTTGGTTCGGAAGAC